GGCCATCAAATGTGTGTTCTTAGGATACTCCCGTGTCCAAAAGGGGTACCGTTGTTACTCTCCTGCTACGCATCGATTTTACACCAGTGCAGATGTCACTTTCTTTGAAGATACACCATATTTTATTGCCACAGATGTCTCTCCGGTTGACTCAGATCTCCTCTCTCAGGTATTGCCTATTCCTCATTTTGATCATAGTGTGCCTCCTACCACACCTGCTACTTTAGAGGCACTAGATCCTCCCGCACTAGCAGGGTCTGATCATCCTCTACACCGATTTGGGATAACCTATGAGCGTCGATCACATACTGTTGTTCCTCCAATGATTCTTCAATTGAGCCATGTGATTCTACTCCTGCTTCAGTCTCCTCACCTACTCCGGCCCCACCTACCTCAGTTGACTTGCCCATTGCTCTTCGTAAAGGTAGTCGTTCTACTTGTAATCATCATCCTATTTTTAACTTTCTTTCATATCATCGTTTGTCTCCTACCTATTATGCTTTTGTCTCTGCTATTTCCTCTATTACCATTCCCAAGACAGTACAGTTGGCCTTAACCCATCCAGTATGGCGACAAGCAATGATTGATGAGATGACAGTTTTAGACTCCAACCACACTTGGGTACTTGACCCATCTCCGCCTGAAAAATCTGTTGTTGGATGTCGGTAATTTATTAAAAAAAATTATTTTTTTTTTATTTTTAGCGACCGATTTTAATTCGGTCGCTACAATTATTAAAAAAATTAATTTTTTTTTTATTTTTTTAGCGACTAATTTTAATTCGGTCGCTAAAATTATTAAAAATATTAATTTTTTTTTATTTTTTTAGCGACCGATGTTAATTCGGTCGCTAAAATTATTAAAAATATTAATTTTTTATTTTTTTAGCGACCGCTTTGAATTTGGTCGCTAAAATTATTAAAAATATTAATTTTTTTTTATTTTTTAGCGACCGAAGTTGTTCCGTCGCTATTTTAATCAACAATTATTATTTTAGCGACCGATTTAGCGACCGATTTTTTGCCACTAAAAATTCGGTCGCTAAATTGGTCGCTAAATAAAATTTGCAACCAAATCAGATTCGGTCGCTAATTAAGTCGCTATTAGCGACGGAAAAAAATCGGTCGCTAATTTCGGTGGCTAAATTGACTTTTTTTTGTAGTGAGAGTAGGTGGTGAAGGAGTTACCTTTTGAAGTCAAAGAAGGAGAAGAATAGGAAATCTGCGAGATTCTTTTATATATTCAACAAGCTCCAAATCAACATCCCCTTCTCTGAGGCATTAGAGCAGATGCCAACTTATGCCAAGTTCATGAAGGAATTCCTTACGGAGAAATAGAAGTTTACATAGGAGGAGATGATTGAGCTAGAGACATGATCCTAAGAGCTTTACATTACCATGTACTATAGGGAACTTGACCGTTAGGAAAGCCTTACTCAATTTAAGAGCAAACACAAATTTGATGCCATTGTCCATTGAAAGGAATTGGAGAGGCGGAAGTAAAGCCTATACATATGACTCTCCAACTGGTGGATTGCTCAATTAAATACTTGCATGATGTGGTGGAGGATGTACTAGTGAAGGTGGACAAATTCTTCTTATCGATGGATTTTGTGATTTTGGACATGGAAGAAGATGTTGAAGTACCTCTTATATTGGGTCAACCATTCATGAAGACAACAAGGGCCTTAATTGGTGTGGATGATGGCAAGCTGAAAATTAGAGTGCAAAATAAGGGGGTCACTTTAGTTTTTTTGAAACCATGACCTAACCTAAGGATGCAAAAGCTTGCTATTGGGTGGATGTTATTGATGAAATGGTGACTAGTGAGAGGAAGCAACTGCACCATAGTTCTCAACTTGAGTTGTAGAAAGCTCGTTTGCACACTTTTGAGTTGTCCAAGTTATACAACAAGAGGACTAAAGCCTTTCATGACAAGAAGTTAATTAAAAAGGATTTTAAGCCAGGTCAACAAGTCTTACTTTCCAACTCTGATTCAGATGGTTTCTCGAGAAGTTGAGGTGCAAATGGTTTGAACCCATTTACTATCAAGGTGGTAAATTCATATGGAGTTATTGAAGTGAAGGATCCTGCCAAGTGGGCCACCAATTTATTTGGGCTCACGTAAAAAAAACCCAACATGCTAATTTTATTAGCATCAGCTGCAGTGACTCTTGGTATGTGAGATCAACTTAGAAGGAGAAATCAGAGAGTCATGTATCTACATGCGTTGTGCGTCTTTGTGAAATAGAGAAACGAAGAAAAGTTTTGTGAGAAGGAGTGGAGCAACCAACTTTGGAGAAGAAGTGTTTGGTACCAATTAATGTGTATTTTGGTTGTTTCTATTGTTTTAGTTAGATACCCATTTGAGAGTTTTCTTGTATTGTTATCCACCATATTGGTGAGAAATTATTTCTAGTGATCCCTAGTGTTTCCAGGAGGACTTGTGATGTACCCATTGATTATTATTAGTGGAGTTTTTACTGGACTAAGTCTTATGGGTTTTTACCTCACGTTGAGGGTTTTTTCACATTAAAATTTGGTGTCTGTTGATTTTTATTTTTCTATTTTGTGCATTCGGCTAAAATTATCTTGTTGCTTATAAAGCTTATTATATTATTTATACAAGTCACTACTACAATACAAGCTATCTACATCGGTTCTGTATCATCATCTACATCGGTTTTAGAACCGATGTAGAAGAGGGTGACGTAGTAAATGTATATAAATCTACATTGGTTCATTACAACCGATGTAAATCTATACCCCTCTATCTGCCGCCGAGAACTGCGTCGTCGCCATCACCGCTACCTTGTTGTAGCTGTAGTTGGATACCTGAAGAAATCAACATTCACCAAGATAAACAAACAAAAGGCAAATTAACGTTACGCGTCTTGGATCTTTTCGGCACCGTCGCTTGTCGCTAGGTCGCGGCGAAACGAAACGATCGAGGAATCAGGGGGACGCTCCGCAGATTCCGGTGACTGAGAAGTCGCCGAGCTCGGCGCGGCGCTGCGGAGGAGAAAATCACGGCGAGAAAGTGTGGGAAAACCGAATGGGAGAATCTAGGGAACTATGATCTAGAAAATCAGTTACAGAGGAGAGAGAGGGAGAAGGATGTAATTATCTCCACGGGCCTGCGAGGGTGGATGGTGTGAGAAGACGGAACCCTAGGCCCGCTGAAGGACTCCACGGTGCTGCTCATGCCGCTGGTGGTGGGCCGATTCACCTGGACCACGGGCTCGAACTTGGAGAAGTCGTGGGCCTGGTAGAGGGGAATCTGGTCGGACTCAGGCCCACGGAAGGATTGGGCGGCATTGTCGTAGGACCGGGCAGCATCCTCGGTGGAATCGAAGGTGCCGAGCCAGACGAGCGACTTCTTCCAGGGATCTCGAATCTCGGCTGCGAAGCGGCCCCAGGGGTGCTTCCTGACGCCGCGAAAGCGCGTCTCCTTGGGCAGAGGGTGGTGGTGGGCGGCAGCGGCTCTCCCTCGGTGCATCTGGGTGTGGAGAGTGGTTTATTGCTCTTCTACAAGAACCACCAGGACGGGAGGAATGGGTTTGGGTGATCTGGCAGAGGAAGGCGAGGGAGTCAGAGGGAGAGGGAGAGGCAGCGACGGCGGCGTAGGAGTGGAGGAGGGAGTTGGGGAAGCGGGGATTGGAGGAGGAGGTTTGGGGATTTGAAGAGAGGGAGAGGAGGAGGGGTTTGGTGTTTGTTTGGAGGGAGAAGGGGGTTAGGGTTCGCGATTGCAGTGCGAAATGAATGAGGGATTTTCCCCATCACGAGAATAATCTCATTTATACATCGGTCATGATCAAAACCGATGTAGAATAACCCATTGATTTTAATTTTACATCGGTCATAAGTAAAACCGATGTAAATACATGTTATATCTTTTATTTAATTACAAGTTTGCCACCGCGTTTATGATTTACATCGGTTCTGCTAAAACCGATGTAAATATGACGATGTAAAAGAGTGTTTTTGTAGTAGTGAGTAAAAAGGAGATACAATTTTTCTTTTGGTTGATTATTACTTAGTTATCTTTGCCAAGAGATCCCTCATCTCAAAGAAGTTTAGTTAATCAAAAAAGATTGAAATCATACATTTGCAAAGTTGTTGATTGGCTTATGGAGAGCCACACTCTAAAGTAGCCTTGAGTAGCCATCTACGCGTCAAGCTAAGACATTAAAATAACACTTAGTGGGAGGCAACCTAGGATTGTTGACTTCTCCATTAAGTCTTATTTGCATGTTCTTTTAATCAATTAAATATTGTTGTTGTGTGTTTAAATTACCATTTGCATAATGTTTTTATCTTTACTTCTTGTCTTTGATAGGACCTTGGGCTAGTTCACACATGGTGCTTGAGTTACTATGGTTAAGTAGAAAAAGTTGCATCCTAACAAACAACTAGAGTTTTTGGCCTAATGGTAAGCGATTGATCCAATAATTAGTTTTTCAAAATTACTCTAGAACTATTTCTCTTAGCCAGACTATTATTGCTTAGCGAAATTAAGTCATTGGTTGAACCAACGCTCGACACGACATCAGTTCTTACATTTATACAGGACTTGATTTCAACTTAAAACACTTGAAAACCATCAAAACAACATGCAACTATATATTCCACACATGCATAACATGTACAACTAGGAAATGGCCTCACGTACAACATTAAACCAACAATTTTTCTGAATCATCAACCTTTATACATGAACCACTTTAAGAAAAACCCAAACCCAACATTCATCATTCCATCTTCATTCAATCATAAAATTAACAACCTATTTCATCCAACAACAACATTAAACACGATATTTAATTTAAATAAACATCACAAAGCTTCCTATACCATTTGGAGAAACAGTTAAAAAAAGGAGAAGACAGGAAGACAAGGACACCATATACAACGTCAATCTTGCATTCTAGGCGTCACAACTTCAAGTATCCAACTCACTAAGCTTGACCAGCTACAAGGAAGAAGAAAAGATTAAACTTATGAGGTTCTTGTTTTAAGAAAACTTTATATACCTTCCTATAAGCTAAATCAACTTATTAAGCTCACAACTTATACATACAACACACGAGTTTTCTTAATTGAAAATAGATTAAAATTAAAGATTAAATATACTTTTAGTTCTTATATAATGAATGAGTGTTGATTTTGATTCTTGTAAAAAAATCTTTAGCTTTCGTCCACAAAAAATATCAAACCTTTATTTTTTTATTATTATTTTCATGCGTCATCCCTAAATATGAAGTGACTATCTTAAATGACACCTATTAGTATTTACAATACCAAATCATGCATTTGACACCTCTAGAATTTATTGAATCTCAAAAGTGAATGTAATTTATAAAAGTCTAATTGAATGTTAAGAACTAAAATATTACTTCCAAATTTTGAATGGATGAAAATCAAAGAATATATATATACTGAAAACCAAAATTACAAATTTTATAGGAATTAAAAATAGTTATTTTTGAAGTAAAAAAATAGTAATTTTAAATTTTCTAAATTATCTTTTTTGGTTTTTCTATTTATTTTTAAGATTTAATTTGGTGTCTCTACTTTTAAATTGTTCAATTTGGTCTCTTAGTTTTTAAAAAATATCCAATGTTGTTTTTTCATCTACATTGACACAAACAACATTAATAAAATTAGATAAAAGAGTGACATAGAACATTTTAAAAAAATAGAGAATTAAATTAAACATTTTAAAAATAGTGAGATCACGTTGAACATTTTAAAAATAGTATGATTAAATTGAATAATAGTTAAAAAAAAGTAGGTAAAAGAAAATTCAATATTTGATAAAAAAAATTAGATAAATCATTATTCAACTTGATCCCTGATGTTTTATTTAAAATGATTTGATTTGGTTATCTAATTTTTAAAAAAATTTAATATTATTTTTTTTGTCTAAATTCATTAAAGTCATTGGTGCTAATTTGGATTAAAAAAATAACATTGACCACTTGTTTAAGAATTGAAGACTTTTTTTTTTTTGATAAGCTAAGAATTGAAGACTTAAATCGACACATTTAAAAAATAATGAAATTAAATTGAATCTTTAAAATAAAAAGAGAATCAAAAGTCTTTTAATTTTTAAAAATTTTAGAGGAATCAAAATTAAAATTATATCATTTTATAAGAATGAAAATATATTTAAATTTAAAACTAAATAGATTGAAATGAAATATATAGTAAGTCTTTAAATGAGACCTTTTCTGAATATGCTCATTATTTATATTTTTTTCAAAAGAACTTAAGTTGATGGTGTAGTGACGTGCGATTTAAGTTGGAGAAGTGGAGCAGGCTGATATGGACTTGGTGGAGTTGAAGAAGTAGAGAGAAGGACTTGAGATGGACTTGGTGGAGTGTCCTATACTTCAAGTTCAACAAGTGAGAGACCTAACATGATTCGACTTTGGAGAGTGTTTTGAGGTTCAAGATGAAAATTAAAATGAAGGACCTTGTGAGTGACCTACTGTTCAGTAGACAGTTTTGTTCTAAATTATTTTTATGTTGAATAATGAAATTTTAATCATTTAAATTATTATGGGCTGAGATTGCATTAAATAGAAAACCTGAATTTAATATTGCAGGACTTTTAATTTGTTGCTTACTTAAATTTAACGAAACGACTAATTTGAATAATAGTTAAAAAAAATTTGGTATATAACTAATAGTTAAAATTTGAATACTACTTTAGCTGAAGTTGATTACATTTCTTTGTAAATTATGCAAAGTTTAAAAATTTTTAACAATAATTTCTTAAAATGAAATATTATAGCATTTCTATACAATAAAATAAAATATTGTATAAAAATACAATAAATTAAAATAATGTATCTTATATGAAACATTTTCACCGTAGAGTATTTTCTCCCTTACATTATGCACTTTTTGCGATATAGCTGTGTCTTTTGTTTGGTATGTGGAATTCTTGTATAGCATGGAGACTTTTGATTTTCAAACTTTGGAATAATTTGTAGACTGCATTATTTTCTGCAAACGTAATAATTAAGAGGTGTTGCTGTCTCTCCATTTTGACAAGTCTTCACATAAGTCAAGATTTTGACAAGTTATCATATAAAAATTGAATGTGAGCATTTTATGTTTGTTTAAATTTTGTACTTAAATTATCACTTGAAATCATGTTACTCCTATTATATAAGTTGATGATTTGTAATATATATATATATATATATATATATATATATATATTATCTGTACGACAAGGCAAAACTGAGCTTCGAGCTCGGCTCAACAATGCAAGATAACCTCGGGCACGCGCTACTCGACGTTAGCTCGGCATTTGAGTAAATCATAACTGATCCCCGAGGATCTCGCCTAGACGAGATCCATTATTTAATCATATTATATCTTATCTCAGGCCCAAAGTCCAAAGCAACCCTAAATCACACCAAGGTACGTGCATTACATATACGAGACTAATACTCATACAAACCCTAACTTTAGCATCAGAGTCTCTTTTGCAGGTACCACCCCCATCTTGGAGCATCAACGTACCAGCGAAGGAGGCTCACCAATCTTAATTGGAGGATCATCCCTACGGCAAATTTCCGGTAAGAACATTTGGCGCCCACCGTGGGGCCGATCAAGACAGCTCTTATCGGCCACCTGTATGGTTTCGACTAGAAGCCATAACAAACGAGTAACAGACGATGCAGACCACTCAACTACCATGGATAGCGACGCTGCAACCTTGAGGCGGTTGATCGACCAAGTCGAACAGATGTGACAACAGCACGATGCCGACCTGCGCAACTTGCGTGCCCAGCACGAAAACGACCTAGCAGCGATACGGACCGCTAATGAAGCAGACCTCGCAGCATTGCGCGCCGAGAACGAGCACATTCGCGCCCAGCTTCCTCGACGACCCTCTGATAACCCTCCTCACGAGAGCGACGTTCGTGAGGATGAAGCACACTCAGCCTCTCAATCCCGGACGGCGACCAAGGCACCAACTTCACGACCTGCCACGCACCGATCTCATGCATCGACGCACAAGTCCGGACAAGGCACCAGCAGAGCCCCCACTCATGTTGATGATGGCCAAGAAACCTTCCGCCGTCATCCTTTTGTAGACGGCATTATGGAGACCCCACTCCCCCGCGGGTGGAAACCTCTCCATCTCGAACGCTATGACGGCACAACGGACCCCGATAAACACATCGATCTGTATACAACCCAGGTAAACATTTACACTAACAATGACGCTATCTTGTGTAGGGTTTTTCCAACCTCGCTCAAGGGGGCCGCACTTCATTGGTACACCCAACTACCCACCGGGTCCATCGATAGTTTTAGCACCTTGATCCGGCGATTCATGGTGCAATACGCCACAAGCCGACCTCACCACACAACCTCGACCGCTTTGGCCAACCTCAGACTGAATGACGACGAACCTCTACGAGCTTTCATGGAGCGCTTCTCCAACATCTCGATGAGGATCCGAAACTTGAATCT